ACATCTAGGGGATACTCACACTGGCATTCAACTTAAATCCCTAAAATAGAAGCCCAAGTTTCTCTATCATTAATAGCAAGCTGTAGTTTCCTCCCAAGAGTGACTCAGAACACCTAAACTGGGAACCTACACTTCTCCAAGCGATTCTAGATGGTCTCTGAAGTTGGATGGTGTGAACATTACATGAGATGCATGGCTTCTCTCTTCCTCCCCCAGGCAAAGCAAATGCCCTCTTCTGCATGGCCCATCTAGCCAGAGGTTTTGATTAACCAGACTCTTCTCCTGCCATACTTGGAGTGCACAACTGGTGCAGTCTTGTGCACAAACTCTCGGGGCTAAACACATGAAGAAGAGGAAGCAGCATCAGAAAGATAAACCACAAGATAAGGCCTGGAGGATATGAGATCTGCTGGTCTGTAGCTTCAGAGCACCCAAAAGAAGAAACTTGCATGCAAAATGCAGTTTTCAAAAATATTGCAGGTCAACACCATGCTACAAAAACTAGCTAACATCTCTTCCTCCAGAAGGTTCAGCTGGATAATTAGTCACATGTGTACTGGGTTTGCACAGCAAGGGTTTGGTAGCAGGGGGGCTACAGGGGTGGCTTCTGTGAGAAGCTGCCAGAAGCTTCCCCTACATCAGATAGAGCCAATGCCAGCCAGATCCCAAAATGGACCCACCAAGGCCAAGCCCATCAGCGACAGTGGCAGCACCTCTGGGATAACGTATTTAAGAAGGGGGGGAAAAAAAAAAAAAACAACAAAAATGGGACACAAACTGCAGCTGGGGTGAGGAGCGAGAATACGCGAGAGGAACGGCCCTGCAGCCCCCAAGGTGACTGCAGAAGGAGGGCAGGAGGGGCTCCAGGCGCGGAGCAGAGGTTCCCCTGCACCCCGGGTGCAGCCCATGGCGAGGCAGCTGTGCCCTGCACCCATGGAGGCCCCCGGGGAGCAGAGATCCCCCTGCACCCGGGGAGGAGCCCACGCCGGAGCAGGGGATGTGCCCCAAGGAGGCTGGGACCCCGGGGGAAGCCCACGCCGGAGCAGGCTCCTGGCAGGAGCTGTGGCCCCGTGGGGAGAGGAGCCCAGGCTGGAGCAGGTTTGCTGGCAGGAATTGGGACCCCGCGGGGGACCCAGGCTGGAGCAGGCTGCTCCTGAGGGGCTGCACCCAGGGAAGGGACCCACGCGGGAGCAGTTGGTGAAGAGCTGCACCCGTGGGAAGGGCTGGTGCTGTGGTTGAGGACGTGCCCCTGGGGGAAGGAGCCACTCTGGAGCAGTTCATGGAGGGCTGTCTGCCGTGGGAGGGACCCCACGCTGGAGCAGGGGAGGAGTGTGAGGAGCCCTCCCCTGAGGAGGAAGGAGCGACAGGGACGACGTGCGATGAACTGACCACAACCCCCATTCCCCGTCCCCCTGTGCTGCTCGGGGGGAGGAGGGAGAGAAAATTGGGAGTGAAGTTGAGCCCAGGAAGAAGGGAGGGGTGGGCAGAAGGTGTTTCAAGATTTGGTGTCATTTCTCATTACCCTACACATGTTCTCACTCCTCTCTCCTACTCAGTTTTGATTGGTAATAAATATAAACTGATTTTCCCCAAGTCGAGTCTGTTTTGCCTGTGATGGTAATTGGTGAGTGATCTCTCCCTGCCCTTATCTCAACCCACGAGCTTTTTAATTGTATTTTATCTGCCC